AAAAGATTACTCAGTTACAGAAGAAATATAAGGAAGTTTGTCTGTTTTTATCTGGCTTCTGAGTGAAGGCGAAAGTTTCCTGAGATTTTGTAGCTATTGTTTTACTCTCATGTGAGTTTGAGTTTCATATTTTATCCTTATTGCATGGTCCAGAATACCTCAAAAGTTAAAAATTAACATTACGGCAGAGCCACTACATAGAGGAAAGCTTGTAGTCTGACTGTATGGAATAACCACTGATATTGCTCAAGTCCCTCTAATGTGGAGCACACTACTCAAAGTTATTTAAAAAAAAAATTTGACAATGCCTTAAGCAAAAGTTGGATACACAAGAGGCAGCAGAATTAAATTTTTAAGAATTTCAAAAAGTAAAACTATTAAATAGTAAATACTTATAACAAAAATTAAATTAATTATAAAATTAATGAGACCAAGGAGATCAGGGGCACTGGAGGGGACAAAATAGGACCTTAGTCATTAAAGTTTAAAAACTGATTGGATAAGCTAAAATGCAGAATAGGCAAATATGAAAAGAAAATTGGTGATATTGAAGATGAATTTAAGGATATTACCCTGAATGACTAGAAATGGTATAAGACTAATAGCAAAAATATTCAAATAGTGTTGCCCTAGTAGGAAACTAATAATATTAAACACATACTTAAACACAAAGTAGACATTTGAGAACACCAAATTTGTAAGATAATATGTTGAGAATCATCAGAGAAGAATGAGAGATATCTACAAAAAGCAATGACAATCTGACAAAACAGATTTTTTTAACAGTAACAATAGAAAAAATGTATTAAAAGATGGGAGCAGTGAAAAGATATTTTTGGATGAAAACTAAGAGTACATATGGGAGGGATTGTGAAGTAAAAGCATTGTACTAGGAGACAGATACAAATAATGATTAACTTTAGATATTTAGACAAGTACTTATATTAGAATGCTAAAAAAGTACTGTGATCAGCTTCTATATCAATATATTTGAAAACTCACATCAAAAGACATTTTCTAAAGCAATTTGTGAAACTGACTCAAGAAGAAGAAATTTCAATGGACCTTAACATTAAAGAAAGTAAATGATTATTAAACATTTTCAACAAAAATTACTATTCGCTGGCAGTGCTACAAATGACTTATACCAGACATTTAAGGAGAAGTAAGCCCAGACTTATACATAAATTCTTAACTTTATATAATGTGTCTTAGAGTAACCTTGATAACCCAGTCACATAATTCCCAGTACTAAGAAAGAAAACGATAGACTGATTTTACATGAATATTTAAACAAAATCCTCAGTAAAGTATTGGCAAGTGAGCCAGGCAGGTTTTCTGACATTGGATATTCCACATTTTCCCAATGATTTGAAGTTCCACATTTATTATTTTATTTTATTTTTTTAAATATATTTTATTGATTTTGTACAGAGAGGAAGGGAGAGAGAGTTAGAAACATCAATGAGAGAGAGACATCGATCAGCTGCCTCTTGCACACCCCCTACTGGGGATATGCCTGCAATCAAGGTACATGCTCTTGACCGGAATCGAACCCGGGATCCTTCAGTCCCCAAGCCGACGCTCTATCCATTGAGCCAAACCGGTTTTGGCTTGAGATGGCTTTAAAAAGGGACAGAGAAATAAATATTACCAGCCATCTGGGATGGATTAATTATTGTATTTGAATTCCAAACTTAAATCTTGTGTTTTCTGGAAAATAGCAGAAAGAGACACATTATAGGAGCATAGAACTTAAGAGACATGCATGCTTTTTCTTTTCTTTTTACAGTGGGACATTGGATAATGTGATAATTACTTTCATCTTCCATTTGCTAAGTTAGAAAATATTATTCAGGTATATTAACCAACTATGAAAGTTAAGATTCTAACATTGAGTCTTAATTCAGGGGATCTTAGTTTTCTGAGGTGAAGTAAGATACACGATTTACTTTTGCTTTCTGAAAAAATAGGTTGACTAGTAAATGCGAAGGGACTTGTAGAGTTGGAAAATCATCATTGTACAACTATCATAGTAAGTTTAGGATCAGATTAAAATCATTAGTGGATGTAAAATCTAGGAAAGTTTGATGAGGAGCAGGATATTTACATGCTTTTTAAGTGTTACCCCACAGACTGCTTATTAATTGCAAGGGAAAAAATACATAGTAATCATATAGTAGAGAAATTGGACAGTATTTAACCAGGTGATCTAAGTTAATATCATCGCTGAAGGAGAGATGGAAATCATGTGCCTCTAGATGAGATTCCTTGAGAAGGACACATGATCACCTATGTACTATTTGGCTAAGAATGTATAATGTCAATCTAATCATTAGGAAACGGCAAGCCGACATTAAATGAGGGATGTTTAATTTAAAAGGGGGAAGGTGGAGCTAGTCTTATAAAATGTCAATGTCATAAAAGACAATGAAGAGCTATGGAAACGTTCTAGCATGTAGGAGGCTAAATAGACATGGTAACTAAAAGTATTGCCTGATTTTATACTGGGTCTGGTATTGGAGAGGGAAATATGCTATAAAGGAAATGACAGAATCAACTGACAAGATTGGAATATTTATGTTAGATTTGATAAAGGTATCAATGTTAGATTTGCTTACATTTATAATGAGTAATTATGTAAGAATATGCTTACTTATAGGAAATACTCTGTGAAATATTTAGGGGTAGAGGGCCATGATGTCTGCAATTTATCCTCAAAAGTTTCAGGGAAAAAAGTAAATATGTGTGCATGCGTGCGTGCATGTGTGAGTGTGTGTGTGTGTGAGTGTGTGTGTGTGTGTGTGTGTAGGAAGGAAGAGACAAGAAAAGGGGAGGGAACATGTATGATTGCAAAAAATGGTAAAACAAGTGGGGCATAAAATGTTAACAATAGATAAATATGGGTAAAGGTATACAGGTGCTCGTTGTGGCATTTTTACTTTTATAACTTATCTATAAACTAGAAATTATTTCCAAATAAAGAGTTAAGACAAATATATGGTTTAGTTTTATGATGCATTCTAATGAAGTAACAAAGTCATAGAGCTCAGAGATTTTGTTCTGGAAGAATGAATAGTTAACCTACCCATTCAGCAGTTTCTCTCAAATATCAGATGTCTCAAGTGAACTTTGATAAGTACTGGATCAAATCAATTCATGGTTGAATTATTCATCGAGTGCCTTAAGTGTCAGTATTCCCTATTGTTGATTGAAGAGGGATCTCTATGTTTTAGATACCAAATATGGACAGTGTTGACATTCTGTTATGGATTTGACTAATTCACTTTCTCAGGGAGATGGATCAGAGAGATACTTAAAGGAAGCTACTCTAGAAGAATTTGAAACTGTAGAAACAATTGGACAGGTGCTCATATATGATTTCAGTGTTTCAGAGTATAGTTAGAAAAAAATGATTTGCCCTGAAACATTTTAAGGTGTATGTTAGCAATTAACTGCCCACTATCATAAAGGAATCTGAATTTTTATCCCCTTTAGAAAATGTAATTTTGAAAAGAACTACATGCTGATGACTAATCCAGGATAAATTAGCTGCAAAATACACCTTAAATAACTGAGTCTCCTCTCCAGATAAGAAGCAAATGGAACTGATAAAACCACTTAAAACATTGGGAAAAAGTTAAAACTTTTTTAAAAGAGAGAAAGAGCCTGGCTGGTATTGCTCAGTGGTTGAGTGTCGACCTATGAACCCAGGAGGTCAGGGTTCAATTCCAGTCAGGGCATATGCCTGATTGTGTGGTTTGCTGGCCACAAATGCAAAAATAGAAAATCCACGAAGATTGGTGGGCTACATAATTAAGACATCAAAAGAGAAAAGGGACAAGCAGACCACTCAGGACACTTTATAATCAGGGTCATGGTATATACCTGGAGTGAAAAGAAAATACGTAGCATGTGCCATGAGAGCAGAGCTCCTTTACTGAGGAAGTTATCTGAATCAGATGAAGTTTTAGGGATCTGGAATAGAGTGGACAGGATTTGTTAGCCTTTCTTTTCATCTTATCTCTTTCCTTTGAAATGTATGTGGTGAAATACTAACAATGGGTGCCTCAGAGTGTGTATGGTTGTTTTTTTGCTACAGATAGCGCCTCCTTATTTACTTTTTTCTGGACAACCTAAAACTTCACTTTTTTGAATATTAAAAGAATAACTCAATATGAAATTGTCAAGCACATTTATTTATATTTTATTGGTAGGTGAAGGTTTATTTAACTTTTGTTAAATATTTCCCCCTTTTAAATTCCATTGAGCAACCATGGTGGAGATTGTCAGGAAGTTACTAGTGTGAGTTGTCTCCTCTCATTCCTTGGCCTCCACCCTTCTTCATTCCACCCAGACCTGTTTTATTGCTGCTGGAAAGAAGAGCAATTTATAATAAGTCACTACATTAAATGGTATTAATAGAATAATGGCTTTCTCTCTCCCACTACCTATTTCTTCCTAAAAATCATAGTTCGAAAGCAGTTCCTGATTAGTCATCTTTTTTTCTAGCCCTCATTCAAATTACTCACATTCAGTTATTACTCTTAAAAATTATACTTACATAAATATGTAATATTTATGTTGAGCCAGTATATTTTTAGGTTTCCTCCTTGAGTATACTTTTCAATGTAAATTATGACCACCTAGAATATGGAGATGGTTGTGTTTTATGAGTACTTGATAAATGAAAATCACTGTTCAGATAATTTGTTTTAATTCAGCCTAAGATAAGGCTACTTGTTTAAAAAATAGCACTTGGAAGGTAGAGGTAAAAGATTTGGGGAATATGAAGAAAGAGGGTATATGGATAAAATTTATGGGCAGTTTTGGAATTTTATTAGTTGCTTATGTGATTGTATTAATTATTTTATGGCAGGTTTTCTTTTAACTTGAGGGTTTCTATAGGATGGATTAGTAGGCCCTCGACTTTTTAAAAATCTCTTGGTTTAATACATTATAATTTGTTTTTTGTAATTAAATCATTTTATTTCTTGCAGATTGAAGTGGTGCCATGCAGCAAGAAGCAGTGAGATGCAGAGTTCGAACCAGAAGGCCTGACATGGCACTTTATGTACCTAAAGCTCGAAGGGGTGTAGAACTCCTCAAGACAGGGGATGAGGAAAAAAGCTGTGATTCACCTAATTCTGTGGTGGAAGAAGAACAAAAAAATTGTCCCTCCCAAAAGGAGATCTTTAGAGAAAAACCTAAGACTCAAAGATTAAATATTTATTCTGATAAAAAGGAGCACAATCGAAAGGAAGGAAAGAAATCTTCAACAAAATTAAGAAAAGACACGTACCTTCAAGAAAACAATGAGGTTAGGATTTGTACTAAGAGAGGAGCCACAGAATCCAAAGAAATACTATCCCAAGGACATCAGCAAGGAGTCCTCAATTCTGGCACTGTACCTACTGTACCTTTACAAAGACATTTTAAACCAAAGAAGGCGGAGGTTGAAACCACAGATGTGACAGGACATGAGAGGTTGCCTCTATCTCAGTCTTGTTCAGAAATCTGTGAGGCTCCAATTTTAAACAAACCATTCCAAAACGTGGAATTCTGTGATTTCAGTAGGCTTGAACTAAGTGGGGAAACATGTGAAAACAGAGATTTAGAAAGCAGAAATGAAACAAATGCCAACGTAGAAATACAATATCAGTTTCCTGGAGTTTTAAGTTGTGTTTTGAGACCAGAGAGTATGATCGGACCAGTAAAACTAAGCTCTGATTCTGAAATTGTGCAACAAGGCATGCAAACATCAGGTGGAATGTTGAAGCTCAGCAGTAGAGGCATCACCACCGTTCCTATTCCTGGAAGTCCAGATGGTGTCACTGACCAACCTTGTGTAGACTTTGAAGCTGAGAATGTTGGTGACATAGCCAATAGTGTAGATTTCATCTTGGGTCAGAAAGGTATAAGTTCCATTCCTGAGACAACGGGTCACATCTCTTATAAAATGACTTCAGTCAACACATTAGAGAGCACAGATGGCATTTTTGATCCAACGATGATTAGAGAGTGTGAGGAGAATGACAACACTGCTGATGAGTTATGCATAAAGTGTGAGCCTTCTGATACAGCTGCTCTTGCTCATGAAACAGATACAGGTAATGGACTTAAGAGTGTAGGTGACATTACAAATAAGTCATGTATGATGGACATTACAGATACCATGTCTGATCAAGTAACTGTAGACAGCCCTTGTGTCGTTGCAGTTAGAATAGCTGGTGAAGCCTATAGCAACACAAGTAGTTTCTCAGAATATTTAGAAATGAGTACAGATACAACCCCTTTTCATGTAGCTAGAGGTGGGAATGACACTGAAAATTTCAGCAACCTCACTGCTTGCTCAGATATTTACGCTGAGAGTATTTCATGTAGTTTCACAGAGTCAACAGGAAAGTTGACAGAAAGCTCATCAGATTGTGCTTCATCCTTGCCTATAAAGAAGATTGCTGGTGGTAATTGTAACATCTCTTTGGACTCTGAACTCAGTATGTTAAATGGGACAAAATTACTTTCAGATAGTGCCTTGGACAATGATCTAGATTGTATTAATGATATAACAGAAGCATTGCATGAACTGAAAACTGAAGAGTTTAAAACAAAAGAGGAAGATGACTCAGAGAATATAGAATTTGGTATATCCTTTCCTGGTGTAGAATCAGTTTCTGTAGAGACATCTATGGAACCGAAAATGATAGAAACTTCCCACATGGAGGAAAGTACAGCTACTGAGGAGAGCTGGGAGTCCATGTTTAATGATGATGGTGACTGCCTGGATCCACGTCTTCTACAAGAGGTATGTTTACTGGAAATTGCTTGATGCTTTCATAATTTGTAGATTCATAAAACTTGGGATTTTGGAGACATTTGTGCACATTCATTGATTTATCTCCAATGTAAGGGTTCCTGCAAAACACATAGGACTATAGACTGAGAAAAGACTACATGGTAGATCTTAAAAAGAAAAAAAATGCAGAATTGAGTGATACTTAAAATAGCCAAGTCCTGAGTGATTTAGTGAATAGACTAAAGATGAATTTAATGGATACTGGTTATCTATTGAGGACAAGGGAAACTTCTCAAAGGGGCTCTTCTGTGTTGACAATATTTTACACAGGCCTATTTGAGGGGAGGAGGCTAGTTTATTAATGTTTATTTTTCCAGTAGATGTTCAGATGTTTTTACTCCAGTGTTTATATTCTTTTTACCAGACCACTTTCTCACCTATAAATGGAGTTTTGTTTGAGTGATTCCAAAGAGCCTTTTAAATACTGATGAGTCTTGTTTCTGAGAGTTAAACCAGAAGTACAGAAAAATAATCACACGCACATGAAAGAGACACATGATACTGAAAAGGTCAGCCCATTGGACAGAATTGACTTTCCAATACCAAGCAATTTCTACTCTCTTAGAATGTGTTTGCATGCACACCTACTGCATGCACTTCTGTTAGCACTTCTTATGATCAAATCAGCAAACATTATAATTTAAACATTTCTTAGAAATATAGAGCAGAAAGTATCTATGAATGGGCATTCATAAACCCCTTGAAATTGCATGAAAATTTTTATAGGTGTAGTTTTTCTTAGTTTTCATCAGATTCTCAAAGACAATGGTCTCCATAATATGGTCCCTGGACCAGCAGCATGAGCATCACTTGGAAAATGGTTAGAAATGTAAACTCTTTAGCCCATCAAGTGATTCTGTTGCACATAAAATGAGAACCACTGCTCAAAGGTAATACAGAAACTTAAATGCATTTCAGAAAGTGAGTGTGGTAACTAGAAATTACTGTTAGCCCATAATTAGGAAAAACACTATTCAGAGATTTTATAATCAAATTGGGTTCAGAAATACAAATAATGGGGGAGTTTGAGTGAATATAGAGAAGTTTTTAAAGATCCAAACACTGGAAAATGATCTTAGTCTGAGAAAGGAAGCAGCATTCATAGGAGTTGGGGAAGGGAATAACTGAGTGGGTAGAGAACATAGGTACACATAGAGAAAGGACAGCTTCCTACAAAAGAAGGGCATGGCACACAAAGCCTTTAACACATGGTAGGACTCATTAAATAGTCACTGAATGAATGTAGGCTATAGGGGAGAATTAGAGATCTCTTCCTTTTTAAGGTAGCCTCCAGGTGCTTTTAAAACATAATTGTTGCCTGGCTGGTATAGCCTAATGGTTGAGCGTCAGCCTATGAACCAGGAGGTCATGGGTTTGATTCCTAGTCAGGGCACATGCCTGAATTGAGGGCTCCATCCCTAGTGGGGGACAGGGAGGTGCTAGAGGTAGCCAAAAAACGATTCTCTCTCATTGATGTTTCTGTCTCTCCTCCTCTCTTCCTCTCTGAATTCAATTAAAAAACAAACAACATAATTGCTGCTAGAACTTGGATTCTCTGTGGTAGCTTATGGATATGGTTTTGTATCGAGGGGGCAGGGCAGTCAGGTGGGGTAACAGTTTTTCAGGTCTTAACACTGTTTAGAATAGGCGCAAAAGAATGTAGGTAACTACTTAGTATTTTTGAGGAGCATAGTACTATAACCTGAGAGGACACTAGTATGTCCTAATGCTGGGAATGGCAGGAAAATGGAGTATGTAGTGTTTTAAGCCAAAGACAGCCAGTGAGTGCATGGGTGTTGTGTTTGGGTATCTTCTGAGGTGCTTGGTAGGAAGTGGATCTATGCTGAGGGATGAGGATGGATGAGAACAAAAAAGGAGGAGATGGAGAAATGGATTGAGAATGTTAAAACAGATCTAACTTTAAACTTTGGTCTCCTGTGCTTTGGGTTTTAGAAGATGTAATAAAAATAATGTTATTAAAACATGTCACAAATCCAGTGACATTAATAGTCCTTTGGCTACTATTATACTTAATTTATTATTTGTATTACTCCAAACATACTTTATTAAAGATTAAACCAGAATGTTTCCCTACCTTGAAAACTTTCCAACCAAAGATGTTTGGCTCTTTTCCCAGCTGGCCTATTTCTTTGTTGACAATGGCTAAACATATGGAGGTTTTTCTAATACATCTAATAGGCAGGAAAGTATGCAATAGTGTAGGGTGTGGCAGCCATTGGCATGTGAAGCAGTTTCCTGTGATGTTTGAAACTCTAAAATTGCCTGAGGGACTGGTGCAACCACTGTGGAGAACAGTGTGGAGTTTCCTCAAAAAACTGAAAATGGAACTCCCATTTGACCCAGTAATCCCACTCCTAGGAATATATCCCAAGAAACTAGAAACACCAATCAGAAAGGATATATGCACCCCTATGTTCATAGCAGCACAATCTACAATAGCCAGAATTTGGAAACAGCCTAGGTGCCCATCAGCAGATGATTGGATCAAAAAACCATGGTACATCTACACAATGGAATACTATGCTGCCATAAAAAAGAAGGAATTCTCATCATTTGCAGCAACCTGGATGGAACTGGAGAGCATCATGCTGAGTGAAATATCAATGAAAGAGAAACACCACATGACCTCACTCATTTATGGATAATAAAGAACATTATAAACTGATGAACCAAAAGATAGATATAGAGACAGTAAAGCAACAAGCAGACTGTCAATTTACAGTGGGGAGGGGAGGGAGATCTGGGGGAGATAATAGATCAACCGAAGGACTTGTATACATGCATATAAGTACAACCAATGGACATAAAACTCTGGGGAGGGAGGGTATGTAGGGAAGGGAGGGAGGGGGGCAAAAAAAATCAATAAAATATATTTAAAAAAAAGAAATAAAGGAATAACAATTATAAGGAGAAAAAAAAATAATAAATAAATAAAATAAAATAAAATTGCCTGAGGAAGGTAGAGAGCATAGCTAGGCCATTATTGAACTCCCAGAATTGCAACTTTTTTTTTTTTTTAAATATATTTTTATTGACTTTGTACAGAGAGGAAGGGAAAAAGATAGAGAGCTAGAAACATCGATGAGAGAGAGAGTCATCGATCAGCTGCCTCTTGCACACCCCCTACCGGGGATATGCCCGCAACCAAGGTACATGCCCTTGACCGGAATCGAACCCGGGACCTCAGTCCCCAAGCCGATGCTCTATCCATCGAGCCAAACCGGTTTCGGCAGAATTGCAACTCTTGATGAGTCTCTGTAGATCACACTAAATCTTCTAAAGCTCAGAGACTTAAGTTGATAAGTCTAGAAAAGAATATTGAAAAGAATATTGGCATGACCTCTTTTAACCTTCTGAGTGTTGGTACAAGAACAAAGGAATTATTGTCTAAATAAAACTTCCTTAGCTCCTGTGCCTCTCTCTACTGATCGGCAAACTTATTGGTAGGAGGGTTAGTATCTTTTGTTATTAGTTCTAGCTCATGTTAACAGACATATATTTGATTTTTTTTTTTTTTTTTAAGCCTCACCCGGGGAGTGAAGATATTTCTTTCAGTTTTCTTGATTGTCCTGGAGTCTCTATTTATGTTCATGTTTAGGGAGAGTGGAAGGGGGCGAGAGAGAGAGGAGAGAGAAAAACATCGATGCTAAGGCAAATCAATTGGTTGCCTCCTGCACATGCCTTGATGAGGAGTGGGGATTGAATTTGCAACCCAGGTATGTGTCCTTGACCGGGAACTTAACTTATAGGCTTTATATCTATTGTTCCATGAAATATAGACTAAGAAATGTATGTTTTGATATTATTAACACTGCTATTTAATCAGTCCTAGAAGCCAAAATGCTTAATAGTTAGCTTAGAAATGGAATATAATTATACAAAATCAATTTTTCGGACTAGGTTATAGCAAAGGATCTTAATTATATTTTCTTGCCAGATTACCCTCTTTTCCTTTCTCTTTCTAATCACTTCTTAGTATTTATATTTCAGAGGTATTTTTATAGTCATGCATTGTTTACCTTTACCTTCAATGCATTATTTAGCCCCAGTTTGTAAATTCATGGGTGCTTTATTTATTTATTTATTTATTTATTTATTTATTTATTTATTTATTTTGCAGAGTAGCTCTGAAAGTCAATGCCAGAAATCCAAAAATGAAATGAAAGAAACAATTTTAATTATAATAGGATAAAAATATTTAGAATTAAAATTAACAAAAGACATATAAAACTTGTACTTTGAAAATTGCAATATGTTGGAAGAAATTAAAGTAGACCTAAATAATGGAAAGACATCACATGTTCATCTCTGATTAATAAAATTAAGGTATTTCCCAAATTCATATGGACCCAGGATAACCAAAGTGATTTTGAAACAGAAGAACAAAGTAGAAAGACTCAAACTTCCTGATTTCATAGCTATTTTAATAAAACTACAGTAATCAAGACAGTGTGGCACCTGTTTTAAGAGTGGACTTGCAAGTGACTTAAGACTCCCTTTGTTTCTGGGGCTCTGAGTTATTAAACTGATATACCAGCCCACTCTAGGCTTTTAAGACTTTGTTAAAGTTTAGCTAATAATCTACTTGCTCACTTGTGTGGTGGCTGCTTCTTCCCATGATATGTCAAAGGCCAACGGTTTATATGTTCTGTTTCTCTTTGGAGGGATTAGTCATTCTGTGGACTTCAGTTTTCTTGGTTGTCTTGGAGTCTCAACTGTCTGTTGAGTGAATTATGATTTTATAGATCAGCTGCTCTGTTATGGTGAGAAAAATACTCTCTCTGTACTTTCTGCATCCTAAAAGTAGAAAGAGCCCTGGCTGGTTTGGTCAGGGGTTAGAGTGTTGGCCTGAGGACCAAGGGTCGTGGGTTTAAATCTCGGTCTAGGGCACCAACTTCAGCTGCAGGTTCATCCCTGCCCAGGTAGGGCGTGTGCAGGAGGCAACCAATCAATATGCCTCTCTCACATGATTCGTTCTTTCTCCCTCCGTTTTCCCTTCCCTACTTCCCTCCCTCTTTTTCTCATTCCTTCCTCCCTGCTTCCTACTCTCTCTAAAATACAATGGAAAAAAATATCCTCAGGTGAGGATTAAAAAAAAAAGTGGGAATAGCGTGGCCTGTAATAGATTCAGCACTCAATTACATTTTGTTTAAAGAAGGTTGAATTCATTGAATATTTAGGTGCCATATAGTATGCTAAGCACTTTACTGCATCATTTCATTTAATCCCCACAGCTGTCTCTGAGGTATAAATATTACTATTATTCCCATTTTTTAAGATGTAAAACTGAAGCCTAGTGGAGAAACGGAACTAGAGGCACTTCAATAAATAAACATTTTGTTTGTTTTACTTAAATCACCTTTCCCCTTTCCTCCCTCCTCAATAAAATTCTTAAATCCATTTTTTACTTGTCTAAGGAAAGGAAGTATAGTCCTGGCATTGAGAGCTTTCATTTTCTCATTTGATGGGAAAAGGGGCATGGTATAATAGAGGGAAAGCTTGAAGGGATCTAGTTGGGCTTTTAATTAACAAAAAGACACTCTAAAGGCTTTGGGTGGTCAGTATCAGCATCTAGGTACTATAACAAGTGAATGACAAAATGGCTTTCTATTTTTCCCTTTCCCTTCTGTTTCTAGTGTAAAATAGTTAATAGCCTTTAGTTTTTTCATAGGATAGTAGAATTTTAAGGTTTGTTTGTTTGTTTGTTTGTTTAGAAAACAGCCAAATTTAATATGTATGTGTATATATATATATATATATATATATATATATATATATATATATGGGTACTTTGCATATATGAGAGAGTCAGAGACCCCAAATGCATGAGAGGTTCCTAGAATGTTTAATTTTTTATTTTTTTTTACTATTAATTTCTTTACTAACCTGCTATGTGACAATTATTTTAAGTAGTTCTCATGCTAGGGACCTTAATTATAATTACTTGTACCACTTAAATTTGCCTTAACAAATTCCTTTGTAAGCTAAGTTCAACAAAAGGTGGACTAACAAAGTGTTTTTATTCTTAAATTTTTGTTTTTGTTTGCTTCCAAAAGAAACACTATGAGATGAGTCTGATCAGTGAGCTCAAATAATGCAAACTTTATTAATTGATCTCCTCAGCTATTTTCTGAAATTCATTTTCCACGATGTGCCATTGGTAACTCACCACATTAATCATTCCACGTTTTTTCACACAGTAGTTGATAGATGCAAGTTAGGTTTCATGCATTGCCTGTCTTTGCTAGAAATTCAATACCTTTTCAAGTATTTCTTATGTATAATATAAACTCGGTGATAGAACCCTAGTCATTGTATTTATGAACAGCATTAATACAGAGACAATGTTAAAGGTTAGGTATTAGGAACACAGAGACTAGGAGAAAGATTACTTGGGGAGAATCCTATATACCGTATTTTTCGGACCATAAGATGCACTTTTTTCCCCCCAGAAGTGGGGGGAAAAAGTCCCTGCGTCTTATGGTCCAAATATAGCCTACACATATACTTAAAAAAAAAAGTTTTTTTACTTGCCCGGCTCTGTGTGGTCTCTGTGTGCTTGCCCGGCTCTAAAATGGTTCTAAATGCTGCTGTTTACTTTACAGGGTTGATTACATGTGTTTATGACTGTGATGTTGGGTTTTAATGCACATAAAATATTTTAGGACACTATTTGTTTCAGAATCTTTTTTTCTTCATTTCCCTTCTCTAAAAACTGGTGCGTCTTATGGTCCGGAGCGTCTTATGGTCCGAAAAATACGGTAATAAAACCCTAATATGCAAATTGACTGGTGGCAGAATGACCGGTCACTATGATGCGCATTGACCATCAGGAGGCAGATAGATGCTCAATGCAGGAGCTGCCCCCTGCTGGTCAGTGCAGTCCCACAGGGGGAGTACCACTCAGCCAGAAGCCAGGCTCATGGCTGGTGAGCACAGTGGCAGTGGTGGGAGCCTCTCCCACCTCTGCGGCAACGCTAAGGGAGTGTGCAGGTGGTAAGGAGCAAGGGCTCCTGGACTGTGAGAGGGATCTCCAACTGCCGGCTTAGGCCCCAGGGCCTATGCTGGTAGGCGGACATCCCCCAAGGGGTCATGGGCTGCAAAAGGTCGCAGACTGGGCTGAGACACACACACACACACACACACACACACACACACACACACACACACCAGTGCATGAATTTTGTGCACCAGGCCTCTACTATTATATAATGATCTGACTTGATGTGGCTCACTAATATGCTGCTTCTTTCTTAGTTGTCAGGGAATATGAAGAATACAAATAGGATCCAGGAACCTAGATTTGATTATTATAATAATGAAGTTCCTGATATTGACCTCAGTGATTGTGAATTCCCACATGTCATTGAAATTTATGACTTCCCTCGAGAATTTCGTACTGAAGACCTCCTACGGGTTTTCTGCAGTTATCAGTAAGTATTGCAAATGGTTGGCGATGTTAGGGAAAGTGGGATGAAGTTTTCTTTAAAATGTCTTCTGGCCGAAACCAGTTTGGCTCAGTGGTAGAGCGTCAATGTCTGTGGACTGAAAGGTCCTGGGTTCGATTCTGGTCAAGGGCATGTACCTTGGTTGCGGGCACATCCCTGGTAGGGGGTGTGCAAGAGGCAGCTGGTTGATATTTCTCTCTCATCGACATTTCTAGCTCTTTATCTCTCTCCCTTCCTCCTCTCTGTAAAATATCAATAAAATATATTTAAAATAAATAAATAAAATAAAATGTCTTCTGAAAAATTCTCTCTTATGTTTTCATATTCCCTGTTGTTAACTTTAGCATCAAGTTTACTTACTGTCTTTTCCAAGTCCATTAGAAATGTTCTGTATTAAACCACTCTTCTTCTAAATCCTTAGAAATGCCAAATAGTCTTTCCAGACACCATTTTAGCATTTAGGAAGACCAATATTAATGATGACTTCTAAGTCTGTCTTCATAGTGTATTTAGTTCATTTTAAATTTTTTGTAATTATTGATATATTGTTGACCCTTAAATAAGGTAGGGATTAGGAGTGCAGACTAACCCACACAGTCAAAAATCCAAATATAACTTTTGATTCTAAAAACTATTAAGAGCCTACTGTTGACTGGAAGCCTTACTGATAACATAAGCAGTTGATTAACACATATTTTGCATGTTATAAGTATTAGGTACAGTATTTTCACAAGAAAGTAAGCTAGAGAAAAGAAATGTTACTAAGAAAATTATAAGACAGAGACAATACATTTATAAAACTGTACTATATCTATTGTTACTATAGATTTTAAGAATTCACACATAAATATTAATAAATTCACATGCAAGTTCAAAGCCATCCATGTTCAAAAGTTAACTGTATTTGGATGTTATGCCTGGCATTCTTTTTTGTATGTTTACTTGTTCCATCTTTTTCTTCTCTTTCTTGCCTTCTTTTGGATGGATGAGGTATTTTTTCATTCTATTTTTTGGGGGAAATAATGCTGTTTTTATTCTTTGGTGGTTATTTTAGAAATTACAAAATGCATGCTTATCAGTGTCTAAAGTTAATATTTTCACACTCTTCCCAAACACTGTAAGAGCTTTTAGCTACATTTCCCAGTTCCATTCTTCACTTCATCCCCACCCTATTTTATATGCTACTAGAGGCCCAGTGCATCCCTCTGCCTGGCCTGTGGGGATCGAGCCCAAACCAGCTCTCTGAGACCCCTCGAAGGGTCCTGAGTTGTGAGAAAGTGCAGGCCAGGCTGAGGGACCCAACGGTGCACAAATCTTTGCACTGGGCCTCTAGTATGCATATAAGATCTTTGGTTAATCTCTTCCCACCCTCCCCCCTATCTCCTTCCCTCTGAGATTCATCAGTTTCTATGCCTGTGGTTTCAGCTCCTACTTTGAGCATATGCCCCCTGGTGGTCAGTGCACATCATAGCTACCAGTTGCTTAGGCTTTTATATATAGATTATGATTGAGTATTGTGATTCTTTTTAATTTTTTTCCTCTTTTTTTTTTTTATAAACTCTATTTGATGTTACTGTTTTATATATTCAGCATTCAGATTTACCCACTTTCTGTTCATTTATTTTTTTTTGCATCTCATACCTACCATCTGAAATCTTTTTCTTTATGTATGTATGGGACATTATTTAGCATTTACTTTAATGATAGGCTGTTGGTAAGAAAGTCATTTTTTTGTTGTTTTTTAATGGCTTTATTTCAACTTCATTCTTTTTTTTTATTATTACTTTATTGATTTTACACAGAGAGGAAAGGAGAGGGATAGAGAGCTAGAAACATCAATGAGAGAGAAACATAGACCAGCTGCCTCCTGCACACTCCCCTCCGGGGATGTGCCCACAACCAACGCACATGCCCCTGACCAGAATCGAACCTGGTACCCCTCAGTCCGCAGACTGACGCTCCACCACTGAGCCAAACTAGTCTCCGCTCAACTTCATTCTTGAAAGATGTTTTTTGCAGGATATAGAATTATAGATTGGTAGTTACTTTTCTCTCAGAAACTTGAAGTTAGTATTTTACTGTTTCCTGGCATTCCTTGTTGAGTATAAGAAGTCATCTCAAAGTCTAGCAACTGTTGCTTATGAATGGAATTTTTTTCCCCCCCTCTTTGAATGCTGTTAAGGCTTTCTCTTTGTTTTTGGTGTTCTGCATTTTCAACATGAGGCTTTATGTTTTCTTTTCTTTCTTTTTTTTTTTAAATTTATTCATTCTGAGATTATTTGGGCTTCTTAAAACAGTGAATTAATGTTTTTCATTGGTTTTGGAGAGTACTCTCACATATTATCTCTTCAAATATTGCCTCTGCCAGTTTCTTTCTCTACTACCTTCTCTGAGATGCTAATCAAATGTATATTAGACCCCTCACTTGATTCTCATGTTAACTTTCATATTTTTTATTTTGACTATTGCATTTTGAGTAATTTCTTGAGCCTAGTTTCCAGTTCACTGATTTTTTTCTTCAGCTGTTTAATTTGCTGTTAAATCTGTCCATTGAATTTTTAAATTTCATTTTATGTTTCTAATTTTTCAAAGTTCTATGTCTTTTTCAAATATACATAGTCAGTTTTTAGTTATTTTCTCTAAGTATTTTCAGAATTCAAAAAATTTCTTCAAGTATATTAAACATAGACTGTATATAGTTTATATCTGGTAACTGCTTTACCTGAAGTTCTTTTAGTTCTATTTCATCAAATTTTCGCTCATAGTGTCTTATTGTTTTGCAGATTTAGTTTCATGAGCTCTCCATTTTCTTTAGAATTTTATTTATGGGAATAAATGTCTCCAATAAAACAAGAGGATTTCTCCTGAAAGGATTTGTGATTTTTCTACCAAGCACCAAGGGCACTAACAGTTCAGGGGCACTGTAAATTAAATTATTGATTTGAGGTTATTCTGACCACTCAGTTAGAATTAGTCAAGTGGAGAATGATAAAAAATTATTGTTACATGTTTCAACTAGTTTAACAACACTTAAAAGTGTCCATTCACTTGACAGTCTTCGATGTAGTGCCAAGGCCTTTTTTTTTTTTTTTTAAGTTATTTGTCTATTGGTAGAAGATGTTTTATATATTAACATCATATTATTCCAGTTTCACTTCGTATAAGTGGAGTAAGAACTTTAACATACTTTCAGAATCATCTGAGTGCATAATGCTTATAGGGTTAAATGTTTCCTCTGTCTTTTATAGCTGTTTTGCGTAAACAGTTGTTAGTAGTTTCTTGGGGCTTTTTAATGACTTCACCTTTCTCTGGTCTTCCAATGCATTCAACTAAGTTTTTATAGACAGTTAAGACCCAACATCCAGAGCCTATTCCATATAAAATGCCTAATAGATTTTAAAAAGCAATTGAGATTAAATCACAAATTAGAACTGACTTAGATTGTCATTAATAATGATGACTTTTAAAACCAAGGATCAGGTTTGATGTCTAAACTTTGAAGATTAGTTAATTTTAATGAATTATTAACTTCCCTTTGATTTGTTTCTTTTTAATCTTACCTATAAGACCTTTTTTTAAATCAAATCTAAAAACATCCTCGAAAGAGAGGCATTTTAAAGAATTATAAATTCTGAAGTCTAAAAGATTCTCTAGATCTTTTTGTATAATTTTGTAAACTATCTTATGATATATATTTTTACTATTGAATTTTTTCACAGTAAAAAGTGACCAACCCCTGTGGTTACTTTATGCTATGGTTAAACTTTTACATTTAGGAAATTTTCTAACCATCAAAGCTTCCTTTATTCTATATCCCTCAAACAAATTTTTTTCCTCAAAGGGATTTTTTTTCTTCACTTGTTTTTAAAGAGGGAAAATATTTTAGCAGTTGACTTTTTTTCTTTATAGTACTTTATAAAAATAGAAAAGGTCATGTGATCTATAATAATGCCTATGAGTCAAATACTACAGGCAGCTTTGTTTTAATCATTAATCACCATCTTCATTAATCGTTTTTATTAATATTGCTATTAATAATAAAAAATGAGTGCCATTCATTTACTAAATACCCTCTGAGTGCTCAACACCGTGTGCTCTTTGCCTTGTTATGAATGATCTTATTTCCATTTTTACAACTCTGTGAGGAAGTACCATGCCCATTTCTATAGATGAGACATAGCTTCAAAAGAAGTTAAAGTGGATAGCAGAACCTGATTCCATTTATATCTGATCCTTAAACACTGTGCTCGTTCCACAGTACTGTATTAAGTCCATGAGCAGTTTTAAGCTCCTTGCTAAAAAAATAGTTGTCATGCCATCATCCTGATAGTCCTTGTGTTAACTATATAGCTGTGCTCCAAAATAAAGGAGTTTTTTAGACTAGGGCAGGCTTTTCTGATAACAGTTGTACTTTCTCTCCATTATTTGATTTTTTTTCATTTGAATGATTTGTCTTTCTCTCTGTTTCTCTCTCTGTCTCTATCTGAAGCCTACATATGCATTAAATCCAGGTGACCTTCCCTGCCTTCCACCTCCTCTCATGTTCTTCTAACCCTCCTCTGCTTCCCCTTTCCACCTCTTCTTACTCTGTGCCCTTAAGAATATCTCCTGTAAAATAGTGTGTTAAATACTTTACCTCCCTAAAGGACTTGTGAGGATTAATTAGTTGATGTCTATAAAATAACTGAGAATGTAAAATACTCCCAGGTAGTTCTTTATAATGGTATTATTGCTTTTAAAATTTAGTAGCTTCTTCTATTCTCCAAGCCATTTTTGTTTCATTATCCCCATTCCACCAATGTGCTGTTGAATGTTTCTCTCTCATCCTGAAATGCTTTATGAGACTCTATTTGAAAGATGTTTCATAAAGAAAATTTTATGAAACAAAAATTGTTTTTTTGTTTTGTTTGTTTTGTTTTGCAGGAAGAAAGGATTTGATATTAAATGGGTAGATGACACACATGCCCTAGGAGTATTCTCCAGTCCAATTACAGGTATTCACTCAATGGATTTCATGTTATATTTTTATCTATTTTATTTTGTGTACTTGTCTTTAGTTCCCTTTTATTTCAGCCACCCAGCATTTTATTCAGCCAGTGTAGGTATTTGGCAGATACAGGTTTTTGAGGCATGGCATTTTGGTTCCCATGTGCTTCTCTTCTCCCTTTTCACCTTAATCCAATGGTACTTAGAGAAATAGACACCTTCTTTCAAGGTTATTTGCTGCATAATTGTTCATTTCAATAGTACATAAACAGATTATAGGTAGATATTAAGAAGCGTAAGTGACTAAATCTTGTAATATGTCAGATTTCTTCCACCCGACAAATGAATTTACAGTAGCCCTTTAACCAGCTACAGACAATATGCAAACCAATGGGCATGGCTCTATTTCAGTAAAACTTTATTTACAAAAGTTAGGTGGTTGGCTGAACTTGATTATAGAGCCATAGTTGATTTTTTATCTAAAACAACCACTGCCAAGTTGTTCCTTATAGACTTTCTAGAGTTTATCATCTCCTTTGCTTGCCATGAAAGAAAAAGTAAAAAGCACCCAACATCTAGGGAATATTTTTAAGAACTACTAGTAGACTTAAATTTTCATTTGCATTGCTCTTTTTCATGTCTTCTGCCTCCTTATATTTATTCCTCTTTGCAGCTCGTGATGCTCTGGGTAGTAAACATACCATGGTGAAGATCCGGCCCTTGTCACAGGCCACAAGAGCAGCCAAGGCCAAAGCTAGAGCTTATGCTGGTGAGCCTAATGTCAGTTTTTCTTTCTTCCTTGTTAATAGTAGTGTTACTGTTTTGTTTTGTTTTTCAGCACTTGTACAATATTCAGAGTAGTAAAGACATATGACTATTATTTTTAGTGTTAAAGGAAGTATGTTTTTAAAGGAAAGAGTAATATAGAAAAGGCTGTGTAGGAAATGTGGCCCATCTGAGCAGCCACTTGGAGAGAATGGGTGATGCTAACTGCAAGCTATGCAGCAATCATTTTCTGATGACATCCTTATCTAGTTTACCTCTGTGTTTAGCTGTTTGATAGAGTCACTGTAAGAAATTGTGCTAATACAGATAAAGAAGCCAGGGTTGTTTGTGCTTTGCCATGTTAATTTCCTCTGATCATCTATCAGGCTCGTATTAATTACTGCTGATGCAGCCCTTGTTAGTCCATTTTTGTTTGTTAATTACTGAGTTAATCACTCGGTGCTAGAGTGCTTTCTCTTCCTTACTCCCTCTCTTTCTCCCATTCAGAGTTCCTCCAGCCAGCAAAGGAGCGGCCTGAGACTTCTGCAGCCCTAGCTAGAAGGCTAGTCATCAATGCCCTTGGGGTTCGAAGTAAGCAGAGCAGAACTGAACGGGAAGCAGAACTCAAGAAACTGCAAGAAGCCCGAGGTGAGTTGAAGAGATGGTGTTCTTCTCTAGTCCCTTTAGAGATCACTATATTGCATGCGTTTAAAAAAAAAAAAGAAGCAGCAGCAGCTCATTTTTTTGGTCATTTCGTTTCCTAGAAGCCTCCTACATATATTGAAATTGCGTGCCTATTCCACACACCAAAGCATCTTAATCCATTTACTTACTGTTGTTTTCTAAGATAGGTCCTATCTCCTCAGCTCACCCATGGCTTTTCCTATAGTTCTTGCTCCAAGGGGTGAGAAAAGTTTTGTGTGTGAAAACCTATGGTCTTCTAGGTAGAAAACATTATTTGCTGTGGTTTTACTGGATCATGACTGTCATGCTATTACCAAATGGTTGAGATCTTAGGTAGAAGACAAATTAAGAAAAAGCCAGCCACTGGCATTGATGATGATAACTGAGGAGTTACTTATTTATTTTTTTGTAAAGACAGTCCTGAGTGACTCCATTAGAGTACATCTAGATTAACCTAGCTTTTGATTATTTTTCAGTACCTAAGAGTTCTCAGGAAATATTTCAACTGATTCACAAGCAGTATTTTTCTTTCCTTATAAGGTTTAAGTTGAGGTTAAAATCTCTCTCTTCTCATTGTAGGCTGTTGACTTGTCTGTAAAGGTTTGGGATTCTGGCTTTGTACTTAAGTACTTTTTATCAACCTTCAGGCTTTAGACATTCTTATTGCCTTAGCCCCTGATCTGTGGAATCTCTGAAGGCAATTTATTCTGAAAATTCCACTTACTGAAAAGTAACTTCATTTTTTCATTAAACAAATTGAAGTCTCAAACTCTTTGTTTATTGCCAGTTTAACAAGGCCATTAATACTTCCTGTCCACTCTGCTGTGGTGATAGCAGGGAGCTTACAGACTCTCGGCTGCACTGGCCAGATAACCAGTGACAGAGTGTGTCATGGCAGGTGCTAGAGTTTCAGAGTAGAACCCAACTAATTTTTGAAACTTTAATGATTATAACGAGGCAGTTTTGATTTTTCTAATGTATTGTTTACTCAAAGGCCTCATAGAAGATAGAAATAGGGTAGGATTCAACTGTTTTTTATAGATGGCAATAACATAATTAGGTTAAAGGAAAATGTGCCGTATCCTTAACCCTTTATTAATTGGTTATCTTTGAAGAAAGTGATTTCTCTATGATAACCACAATTATCATAAGATCAATAGAGAGTAATAACAGTAGTATCTATAGAAAGAGATATGACTTAATTTTTTCAGTATATCATGCTTTTCAGTGTATCTCTACTGCAGCAGCAGTTTTGCATAGATGCCATCTGAGTAGTCCCTCTCCTCTGTAGGCACATCAGCATGCAGCTCCACTTGAAGTATTTGTTTTAAGTACCCAGCTATATAAAGGACAGTTTAGTGATGTACTTAAAATGAGACTGTTGGTTAAGTGGGTACCCTGTTACTTTTTAAATGAAGGCCTTGAGTTGTGAATAGAGACCCACTGTGATAAGTTCCTATTATCTGTTGGTGCTGAGGCTGTACAAATTATAGAGGACACTTCCTTTATTATGCTTCAGAGTTTTCCCATTCTTCATATCTGAGAAAATATAGATGGAAAATTCCACATTTACCTCTTTCTGGCTTCTTTATGTACCTGGTATTGAGCAGATTCTCTGTTACCTGTCTACATGTACCCAAGGCTTCTCACTTAGCAAATATTTCTCTGTGGAAATTAAAAGTACTGTTTAGGTGATAAGAACAGATATTTTTGTTCCAGACCTTTTTCCACTAGAGGAGGAGGAATCAGTACAGCATAGTGAATAACATAGACTCTGGCATTAGATTACCTGGGTCTACATCTTAGCTCTCTACTTATTGGCTGTGTGATCTTGGGCCAATTAGTTACTCCCTGTTTTGTCATCCATACAATGGAAATCAAGTGAGATAAAACCTGAAAGATACTTATTCATCTTCAAAAACCATGGGAATACTCTCCTTTCTATTTGTATAGGCCTATAACTAGTATGTGACAAATGTTAGCTTCTCCTATTTTTATTAATACTAGTAAATATTATATGGTGAGTCCAGCGCAGATTCCAGGGCATATTTTTTACCATTATTCTTTTTATTTTAAATTTTATATAATACTCTACCAGTTACATTTGCCATTTACTGAACACCTGCCTGTGCAGAGCGGTATGATCCATATTTAGGAGAGTTAGACTAACAATCTAGTGAAGATACTACCTGCTTTGAGTAAGGAAGAAAATATGAACCTGGTGTTTTAAGCAATTGTTTCTCCTCTCACTTTAGTTTTGAAGTTTCTAAAATTAAAAGCCATGGCAAGGTTTTAGTTGATTAAGAGGATTGGAAGGAAACTCCAGGTAATGTAACATTAAAATAACTCTGTTATTTTATAGCTTTATATCCAGTTTAGAGATGGCCCAGAGAAGTAACTAGCAGCCTAAGATCTCCCAGCTGGCAAATTGAGAGGAGACATGTTAGCCTAGCCCTCTCTAATTAAAATATATGTCCTTCTATAATACTTACAATCCCACTTAAAGAATTTGGGGGCAATTAAAAATTTTTTTCCCAGAAAAAAATATACTTATAAAATTTTAAGGTCTTCAGAAAATAAAATATGACAGGTTTCTTTTTAGTTATCTGTTGTAGATGTTAGCAGTTTTCACTGTCAGAAAATTTTTCCTTTGGTCTACCTTAAATCTGTATGATACTTTAATCCAGATTCCTCTTTCTTTTTTAGTAGAAACAGAATGTCTGGATACCGTTCTATTCTAACAAACTTTAACTACAATGATCAAGGGCAGATCATTTAGGAATATGGTATAATAGAGTTTTTGCCATTAACTAGTTATGTGGTCGTGGGCATGTCAGTGTACCCCCGTTTCCACCAAAGCGACTTACCTAACTATGAAGAATGTTTTGGTACAACATAAGTTAATATGTGTAAAATTGTTCAGAAAAGTGCTTTACAAATTCAGGATACTGTTATTTATGTGGTTCTTGGGAAATTATTATTCATTATAACAATACTAGAGGCCCAGTGCATGAAATTTGTGCACTGGTAGGGTCCTTAGCGGCTGCCGGCTGGGAACTCCCTCCTTTCCCCAGTAACGTGCTGCCACCACTGGCCAGGGCCTCCCTCCCGTCCCCTGGCAGGCTGCACCCCCTGGTCGAACTCACAGAGGGGACAAATTTGCATACTACGCTTTTATTATGTAGGATTAGAGGCCTGGTGCATGAATTCGTGCAGGGTTAGGGGGAGGGTTGTAGGGAAACAGAACCGTTGATCGGCTGTGGGCAAGGGACTGCGGGAGGTCGGCCAGCCAGGAGAAGGATCACAGTAGGGTAGCCACTGGCCCCAAGGAGGGAGCCGATCCTTGGCTTCCCGGGAAAAGGGCTGCATCTGCCGCCACCCACCCCCTGTTCCCGAAGGCCCCAGCATGGTCGGGAGAAGAGGTGATGGTTGCCGGGCTGGGCTCAGAAGAAATGGACGCTGGCCACCATTGGTGCCCCGCCACCATGCAGTTTCCCGCCTCCCCTCCTCTTCCTTCCCTCTCTGCTGCGGTGGCAGCAGGTGGAGCAAGACAGACCCTTGGATCAAGGGCTGACTTTCAATAGATCACAGCGAGGAAGCTGCTCTGCTATGTACGAAACCCCAACCCAGAAGCAGGTCTCTATGAGTGGTTTTAGCACCAGGGGCTGATGGGGGCTAGCTGGCCGGGGTGAGGGGCCGCAGGAGTTTGGCTGTGGTAGTGCACTGACCACCAGGAGGCAGCTCCTGTGTTGAGTGTCCCACCTCTTGGTGGCCAGTGCGTGTGAAAGCAACTGGTCAACAGATCGTTCCGGTTGTTCAGTTATAATGGTCGCTTAGGCTTTTATATATAGATTGCTGCCTATTTATTTTATTGGAAATGAAAGTTTTCTGGGTCAGTTATGTGAGTGCTTTAGGTGAATTATTTCATACTAATTTTTTTATTCTTGCTTAGTTCCTTGCCCTTAAAGCTGCTGTTGCTCTTTCTACTTAAGTTTACTTTCTTTAAAGGTTGTAGGTAAAGTTAATAAGAGCTTTTCTCATGCAGTCTGCCAGCTATTAGCTGCTTTCCTTTCCATTTAATACAGGGACAGCATGTTTCTTGATCTTTCTGTTGATTTTTTTTTTTTTTTTTTTTTTTACATTTCTCCCCTTTTCTTTGTAGGTATTTTCAGATATCAGAATAGTGGAAAATATGCTGGTTTGAGAATTATGTATGGATCTGGGTTCCAGCGTCAGTTTTTTACTAATTATGCAACCATAGGCAAATCACTTAAACCCCCCTCCAAACTTTCATTTACTTTTTTTAAATGAATAAAATATTTTTGTCTCATTCTAATCTATATTTCTCTATTCTAATCATGTTCTATACTTCTAAATGTATGTCTCACATTTTCATTATTTCTTTGTGCTTCTCAATTTGTCTCCCTAATCTCACTGGTTATCTCATATGGTTTACAACTAGACTTTCTTCTTATATATACATTTGTTAATTGAGATCTACAGTCTTTTATCAGAAAGCATTAGGGTAAGAAATGTTTCAGAATTTTGTGATATTCATATTTTAGAAAGATATTATGATTATCTTAATCTTTGTTTCATAATACGAAAATCAGACACATTAACACTGATATTTCTGCTGCATAGTGCATGACTAGTCACCCTAAATGGCACATATAAAGGCTATAAACAGCCCTATATCCTTCAGGTCAGATTTATCAGCAAATGAGTTTTGGCCCAGACTTTAAAAACAAAACTTTGTTTTCAGAACTGCTTTGATTTTAGAATTGTGGATTCTGAGCCACTCTTCCCATATTGCCTTTCTGATTTAAGTTCCTGAGCTTATTGCAAACTTTTGAGTTCTAGTAATTTACTATTCTGGGTTCTTTTTCTTAGAATCCAGAACCAGTGTTTGATTGTTTTCACATAAGTTGCCTTTGCCTTTAGATACGCTCTTAGTTTTCCTGTTTGTAAGAATCAGAACAGCGCCTTCCTAAGAAATGTGCTGTTTCCTAGAGAATCCCAACCCGATTCATAAAGCTAAGTCACAGGGCACTGAATTAACTAGCCTTCCACTTGGAATTTGCTGACCCCCATATTTTTTGCCTCTTGTAACTTTGCTGCTATATTCTGAACATGCCACAAGATGGTGCCCAAATAGCAGCGAATTTCTCTTTCTCACATGTACAAGTGCCTGTCAACTTCCTGACAAAGTTCTTTGCCCTTAAAGTAAAATCAAATATTAGTACAGGAATTTTATAAGAGGTTTTGCTGATTTGGAAAGGATATGAATAGCAAGTGTTAACTCTAAACTCACCTTGTTTTCCATAATCCCCCTGGTTTATGACTTGTAAAATCTTTGCAGACATTATCTGAAATAATAGCCCTTGGGAGGAAGAATTTAGACTTGTCATCTATCTACATTTTATGGTGTCAAAATGAATGGCAAACCATGAAATTAGAACTGGTATTACATCACCTAATGATGTGCTTGGGCCACGTCATTCATGTGTGGTCTGTATTTTACCCATTTTGGTGAAATTGTTAAATAGAAACTAGGGTTTTGTGTTAAAAATTAAAGATATCTGCATTTTTTTGTTTTTAGAAATAGTCCTTGGTTTTCCTCCATTATGTGTGGCCATTTTTCCATTTTGGAATTGGTATATTCCAGAAGATTTCTGGTTCTTGAAAGTGCTCTGAAAATACTGAAATTTAGTTTGCCTTTGAAATATTTTTCTGTAAAATTGTATGTAATAAGATCTAACTAAAGCCCAGGGGCTATTACCTCCATTTGAACAAGAAGTTGGAAGAAGAATGTTGAAATATATTCTTGATCGCTGTTGAAATATATGGGAAGATCAGTAAACTGGGAATAATGGGCAATTATATGGAAGCACTAACACAGTTGAGAAGTAGAATTAAAATAAATATATTATCAGCAAGACTAGAATCTGGGTCCTACTAGATTTCTGACTTATTCCAGTTACATTTTACTTCTTTTTAGCTCCAGATCTTATTCTTTCTATTAAATAGTAATAGTAACATTTCCTTTTAACCAAGTACTTGGAAAGTTAAAGATATTAACTCTTGGGATCCAATTAGAGAAGATCAGGAAATCTAGCTCTCTCTTGATTAGTTTACCTTGTAATTGGGATTAAGGGAAAGTCGCCGGTTATATGACGTACACTGCCACTTTTAACACTGCCCTAATTTACAGAAAGAAAACGGTTGGAAGCCAAGCAACGAGAAGACATCTGGGAAGGCAGAGACCAATCTGCAGTTTGAACATCACTCAATGGAAAAGATAATTCCATGAATTGAGAAAATATTTCCATAGTCTTCAGATAAGAAGATCCTTCCAGAGCTCTGTGTACATGCAAATGTGCATGTTAAGAAAGGGATAAAGTGATCATGACAAGGACTGACTGGTGTAGAAAGAAGATAGACTACTGTCTGTCTTCATTCCTAAATGCAGTTCTTTGGAATCACCTTATTGTGTTGGGCATAGAAGGAGCCAACAGCTAGTAAGAAACTTGGAAAGTATGACTTCCAGGAGTCCTCTGGACAGGGAAAGTCATGTGAGCATGGGTCACACTTCCAGGATGTTTTAAGCAAATACGAAACAGAGGATTTAAACCTGTGATGATGGGAGATTTAGGCCCTGCGAAACCAGGGTGTTCTTTAGTACCTCACAAAGCTGAGAACAGCAATATTGAAGGGGAAGGGAGGGAGCAGTATCTGGTATACTTGGGATTTACAGACTCTACACTGCCAGTTCCAGAACTCCCAAATTGGCGAACTGCAGCAGATGAGGGTATTTGGACTCCAGAGTTGTACGGAGAAGCTGAGTGCCTGGGGCTTCTCCAGCTGCACAGCAGCCAGGGACATGCCAGCTTCATTCCTCATAGGAAGCCAGTCTTGGGAGCTGTATTCTAGTTCCAGCTTGAGTCATCTATCATGTTGTAATTGGGAGACATTAAAGTCCATTTTATGACCTAGATCACTCTCGTATTTGTCATTTATCAGTTTTGTCATTCCCATAACGAAATTGGTAAGCAGCTCTCCTCATCTTTATCCCTTATAATGCTGTGTGTGAGTTCAGTGGATCTCTTGATTTTATTGTACCCATGAGCAGAGAGGTGATGATCTCTCTGCCCCAGAGTAGACTGCAAACGTGCCTCTCTTGGGATTGGTATGTAGCAGCTCCTCTTCCCTTCTTACCCTCTTTGTGCACCCAGACTCCAGCCTCTTGCTTTTCCCCATTTCTGTCAAATCTGACATTCTGCAGAAAATATCTGGCATGCAGCATGTTCTTGGTATGATCTTCTCAGCCTGTGCCAGAGGCACTTGGCAAGCAGTTCCAGACCGTCCATTACAATGAAAAGCAGCCAGAATAAAACAAACACCTCTGGGCAGTGAGCTATTTCCTCCTAAAGGACATGGACAGGTCAGAGCTGTCACCTCAGGCTTTATCCATTTCATATTAGCATTCCCAGTGTTTTTGTAAAGTACTTCTGCACTAAAGGAATGGTAGTGCTAGGCCTTAAGATGTCGAGGAAGCAAGAAATAGTGTTTAGTTGTGCTTTTAACTAAGGCATTAGCCTCATTTTTATATGTTTTAGTGCCTGTGACAATGATGGATTATTAGCACTGCCTAGAACATGGTGGAGTAGGGCTTTTTTCAAACAGTTTCTCAAATGACACTGGCCTTGGGTCTTAGACCTGACACAACTATCCCTGCTTCTATTCTGGTCTTGCCCTCACGCAATTTCTCGGCATTGTTTTTTTCAGTCTTGGTCCACTCTGAAAGTGTCCCTTGTTTATGTGCAATGCCTCCAGTTCAAGTTTGGAGGATTAAATCTTTTTTCTTGACCCTCTGACCCAGTGCTTAGACCAGTGCCCCTCTCTCTGGCTTGAAGCTGCACAACTTGTACTCTGTCATCACAGAACGGACTTCTCTAAGATAGGCCTGTGTAATGGGGAAATGTGGTTGCATTTGAAAGGAAATGCAAGGAATTATAGTCAGGCTGCCTACTGTACGGTATACCTCTGAGGTATAGTTTTGCTCTGTGTTGATTCTCTAGGGCAGAGAGTGACCTAGGGCAGTAAAAAGATGATTACTACTTTGAGGGGACCTCCCCTTTCTTAAAGCATTTTAGCTTTAAAGGGCATTATTAAAAGTAACATTGCCCCATGTTTATTGCCCAGTTTTCTTGTAGTCCTTATAATTGCTATAAGTTACATTTGTTTTCTCTCTAATGCTTTATACTAGGTGGCTAGTAGCTTGTGCATGTTTTCTTCCTTCCTTCCTCCCTCCTTCTCTCCCTCCTTCCCCCCCCCCTTTTTTTTTTTTTTCTCCCAGCTAACAATCATCCGCCTTTAACTTTCAGATTTATCTTTATAATCAGACCCAGAGAAAGGATTTTTTAAAAGCCAATATTGAAAACTATGGAGTGCTGCTGCTTCTACTGTTAGTAGAGGATGTGTTCTTCATTATCTTTTTCTGGCAGTTGGGGTTGATGTATACTGGCTAGAGGTAAGAGGTCCCGCCGTGGCCCAGCATGGACTGCATCATTGAGCTTGTCCAGATGGAAATAAAATCTTTGACCATATCTGAACCAGGCCTTCACAAACTGAGCTAACAAGCATCCCATAGCTGCCACTGACTCCTTGTTAGATGTTTGAGAAGACATAATGCACTCTGCTATGCATATATGTTGCTTCATGTATGTTGAATGTCTGCACCCAGGATCACTTGGAATTTATAGTAAAAAGGTACATTCCCCTTGAGTTTGTATATGCTCTGTATATAGCAGAAGTCTTTGTAGAACAGAAATAATGTAGGCTTCTGAAGAGTAAGCTGAGGTTCCTAGCACTTTAGTTTGTCAGAGACTGAAGCATGCCGAGATGAAAGTCTTCTGACATTTTTGGTTCTGTCTGGAATTTGGTGGTTGGTATTCTGTTAACATTCCTCATCTAGTTATAAGTCATGCCAGCCACCAGTCTTCCCATGTCCTTCCCTTTCAACTCAGGTGTAACAGGACAACCCTTGTATAGCTTTTTCCAAGAGTTAAAACTGGCTGCACCTATCAGACATGTGATGTGGGCAGCAAGGCTGAGACCAGAGCCGGTGGCTGACTGCTTGGCCTGCTTTTCTGGCTCTCTTGGAAACTGGATCCAGCAAGAACCTGTGGGTAACCTCCCTGCCTGAATCTAGCCATCCGTCACCACACGCTCCCCCACTAGCTGCATATTCTTTCACAGGCCATTAGCTGCATGTGCGAGTATAATGTTGTTACTGTTTGGGAGATGTTTGCTGGCTCCAACAGGAAATCAGTCCTTCCCTTGTTTACCTAAATGGCTGTGCCAAAATATAATGCTCCCTCTGCCTAATGAAGGAGATGAGGGAGTTGAAAAGAGAAGGTAGAGGAGAAGGAAGAAAGCATGTCTTTGTATTCATAGAGTGTACCCAGAGCATGTTCCTTTTCGCTCTCTAAGGAGGGGGTGGCGCTCATGATAATGGGGAGTGAGGGGAGGCGCGAGAGTGGGACACACTATTGTAAATCTGCCCCAGCTGTTATCATTCATGTAGACTTTGCAGCCTCATTTATAAAAGTTTACAATGCTTGACCGTCTTGCCACCTACCTTTCATCCCTTAACCTTCCTAACCCCTGTTTCAGCACAGCCTGGGGAGGGGATTGGGAAGCAGACAGTAGGCTGATAGCTGATCAGAGAAATGCAGTGGGACTGTTGTGTGTCCTGTGCAGCCTGGTCACCAGCTTAGTGGGAGTGAAAGTGGTAAAGTTGGTGCACTGGGAACTGCAAAGAATCACAGCCAGTCTTGTCTTTGTAACTGTCAATAGTGAAAAACCTTTATTGGCTCTGGGGTATCAGACTGGTAAGGATCATCTTTTAAGTGTGTCTAAGTGGAGAAAAGATGAAGAATCGTGTCCAAGAAGACCCTGGGATTGTGTACTACCTGAGCAAGAGCATATTATAGCTACATCAAGAAGGGATGGTGGCCTTTCCTAGATATAGTCTTTAATGAAATTAAATGTCCCCTCATAGTCTCCTCTCCCCCACTCTACCAGACCTGTCTTCTTATTCCTACAGAGATGAGTGGCTTATTTGACTGATGCTCTTTCCATTGCAAAAATGTATTCAATGCAAAGCTCACTTCAGAAACTTGGCTGAGACCTGAAATTTAGGCCAGTCCTGAGATGCACCGTGATCTTGAGGGGGACATTTTGTTGCCTGCCAGGTATATGGCACGTAGTTTTTCCTTGGCAGGGGCTGAGGTCCACATTATCCAGCAGACTTTCTGCTTTTTTTCTCTTATTGCTCTGCAGGAAGACCCTATCTGGTCACTTCTGCAAATCGTGCCCCTTCTCAAGCACTCAGCAACTGGTGGTGGTGGCCCACCAGGAGATAAGGGGATGCCTGAGGCCCATGCTTTCAGGGATGTTTGAAACACCCATATGTACAGTAGGATAAAGGTAAGGGCCCTAAAGAACAGACAGTATGACAGGTGAGTTCTAAATGAGGACAGATCAAGCAAGGCAATGAATTCACAAACTTCGCTGCCAGTTGTGACATTGACACACATTGTGTTGCTTTGATCTGCATGCAGAGAGCTAACCCCACCTCCCGTGTATTGCCCCTGTCTTCTCCAAGACGTGTGCAAAGCACTATTTTAGGTGGGGGCCTGGACCATAGTCCATCCCCAAGGAACTGATTGCTCCTGACCCAGGAACTCGGGGGCAAAATCCAAGAAAGATTGTGTCTCCTTATGCAAGAGGAGTTTAGCTGCACAAAGCCTGGAAAAATCATAGTCCATAGACCAAAGGCCCTTAAGGGACAGGCCTAGAGCCACTCCAAGGGAGCAGTACCATCCTGGTTTGGTGATCTTGCCATCAAAAGGCTTCCTGAGCAATTCTTGGTGCCCCTTGGCACTGGCCCATTTCCCTCTGAGTCAGGGTTCTGTGAAGGGCATGGCTCCAATAAGCTGAGGTATCTGATGTGTGGGCAGCAGCTGGGAATGTGCAGTGACGGCTTCAGATGAGGTTGTTCCTCAGACGCTGCTCCTGCTCCAGGGAGAGCTCTGCATTGGCTCGGTATGAATCCCCTGTGGGCCAAAGGAAAACAGGTTAAGTGACCAACCCACCACAGTCATCCTTTCCTTGACAACTTTACACAGACATTCTGCTGACGTCATGCTCTACATCTGGTTGGTCCCGGGCACAGACCCCAACTCATTCTACAGAAACAGACCCGACAGGTGTGTGGTTTCAGGGACATTGGGAAGAATAGGCTATTGGATGGAAAACAGTTGTGCTGGTTGCTCTCCTTTGCCCTCTCCAGATTCAATCTCTACCCTGATTTGTCCTCTCTGTGCCCTGGAGAACTGATCCCTAGGTTTGTCCTCTCTGTGCCCTGGAGAACTGACCCCCTAGATTGCCTCACCCTGGATCTCATCCTCTGGTTTCTGGTTGATTTAGGTCAGTGGAAAGCAACAGCAAGAGATTGAGAGGGTGGAAGGAGAGAAGGTGGGGTGTTTCTTCCCTCGTTCTGGCAGTCATGTCTACTATAGCTCCCGGCCAGATTCTCCCTCATCCACAGCTCTAGCTTTCATCTGGTTCCAGGATACCCTCGCCCCTTCAAGCCGAAAGGTGGATGGTTTTCCACTCTTGCTTATCCCTGGATGTCTCAACGCCCCTTGTTTCCTTAGTCTTACTCGCACCTCTATAAATAGTCTGTTTATTAAATAACTTCGACTCTCATTCAAGCATGCTGCCTGTTTTCTTCAAGGACACTGACTGACCAGAACGGCATTGTTTTTCTTTCCCTCGCCGTCCTGTGCCTTGCAGCCTGCTGCCAGCATTGTGGAGGATCTACTGTCTCCATATGCACGGCGTCAGACTCCAATTCCTGATTCCTCTAACACTCCTGTCTGATTGAATGGCTGCGAAGTTTACTTAGTCACACATGTTCAACCCTTA